TACATCATTACACAAACTACATCACCACACAAACTACATCATTACACAAACTACATCATTACACAAACTACATCACCACACAAACTACATCATTACACAAACTAAATCATCACACAGACGACATCATCACACAAACTACATCACCACACAAACTACATCATTACACAAACTACATCACCACACAAACTACATCATCACACAAACTACATCACCACACAAACTACATCATTACACAAACTACATCATTACACAAACTACATCATTACACAAACTACATCACCACACAAACTACATCATTACACAAACTACATCATTACACAAACTACATCATTACCCAAACTGCATCATTACACAAACTACATCATTACACAAACTACTTCACCACACAAACTACATCACCACACAAACTACATCATTACACAAACTACATCACCACACAAACTACATCACCACACAAACTACATCATTACACAAACAACATCATTACACAAACTACATCACCACACAAACTACATCATTACACAAACTACATCATTACACAAACTACATCATTACACAAACTACATCATTACACAAACTACATCATTACACAAACTACATCATTACACAAACTACATCATTACACAAACTACATCATTACACAAACTACATCATTACACAAACTACATCATTACACAAACTACATTACCACACAAACTACATCATCACACAAACTACATCATTACGCAAACAACATCATTACACAAACAACATCACCACACAAACTACATCACCACACAAACTACATCATCACACAAACTACATCATCACACAAACTACATCATTACACAAACTACATCATTACACAAACAACATCATTACACAAACTACATCACCACACAAACTACATCATTACACAAACTACATCATCACACAAACTACATCATTACACAAACTACATCATTACACAAATTACATCACCACACAAACTACATCATTACACAAACTACATCATTACACAAACTACATCACCACACAAACTACATCACCACACAAACTACATCATTACACAAACAACATCATTACACAAACTACATCACCACACAAACTACATCATTACACAAACAACATCATTACACAAACTACATCACCACACAAACTACATCATTACACAAACTACATCATTACACAAACTACATCATTACCCAAACTGCATCATTACACAAACTACATCATTACACAAACTACATCATTACACAAACTACATCACACAAACTACATCACCACACAAACTACATCATTACACAAACTACATCATTACACAAACTACATCATTACACAAACTACATCATCACACAAACTACATCATCACACAAACTACATCATTACACAAACTACATCATTACACAAACTACATCATTACACAAACTACATCATTACACAAACTACATCATTACACAAACTACGTCATTACACAAACTACATCATTACACAAACTACATCATTACACAAACTACATCATTACACAAACTACATCATTACACAAACTACATCACCACACAAACTACATCACCACACAAACTACATCACCACACAAACTACATCATTACACAAACTACATCACCACACAAACTACATCACCACACAAACTACATCACCACACAAACTACATCATTACACAAACTACATCATCACACAAACTACATCATTACACAAACTACATCATTACACAAACTACATCACCACACAAACTACATCATTACACAAACTACATCATTACACAAACTACATCACCACACAAACTACATCACCACACAAACTACATCATTACACAAACTACATCACCACACAAACTACATCACCACACAAACTACATCACCACACAAACTACATCACCACACAAACTACATCATCACACAAACTACATCATTACACAAACTACATCATCACACAAACTACATCATTACACAAACTACATCATTACACAAACTACATCACCACACAAACTACATCACCACACAAACTACATCACCACACAAACTACATCACCACACAAACTACATCACCACACAAACTACATCATTACACAAACTACATCACCACACAAACTACATCACCACACAAACTACATCACCACACAAACTACATCATTACACAAACTACATCATCACACAAACTACATCATTACACAAACTACATCATTACACAAATTACATCACCACACAAACTACATCATTACACAAACTACATCATTACACAAACTACATCACCACACAAACTACATCACCACACAAACTACATCATTACACAAACAACATCATTACACAAACTACATCACCACACAAACTACATCATTACACAAACAACATCATTACACAAACTACATTACCACACAAACTACATCATCACACAAACTACATCATTACGCAAACTACATCACCACACGATATAGCGAGGCAAATATCCCCTCTAAACATATACAACAGACCCCTGCTGTACTATAGCAGTATGACGGTATAGCAAGGTAAATATCCCCTCTAAACATATACAACAGACCCCTGATGTACTACAGCAGTGTGACGATATAGCGAGGTAAGTATACCCTCTAAACATATACAACAGACCCCTGTTGTACTACAGCAGTGTGACGATATAGCGAGGTAAATATCCACCTAAACATATACCACAGGCCAAAGCTGTACTTCAGCTGTGTGACGATATAGCGAGGTAAATATCCACCTAACCATATACAACAGACTCCTGCTGTACTACAGCAGTGTGACGATATAGCGAGGTAAATATCCCCCTAAACATATACAACAGACTCCTGCTGTACTACAGCAGTGTGACGATATAGCGAGGTAAGTATCCCCTCTAAACATATACAACAGACCCCTGTTGTACTACAGCAGTGCGGCGACGATATAGCGAGGTAAATATCCCCTCTAAACATATACAACAGACTCCAGTTGTACTACAGCAGTGTGACGATATAGGGAGGTAAATATCCCCCTAACCATACACAACAGACTCCTGCTGTACTACAGCAGTGTGACGATATAGGGAGGTAAATATCCACCTAAACATATACAACAGGCCAAAGCTGTACTTCAGCTGTGTGACGATATAGCGAGGTAAATATCCACCTAACCATATACAACAGACTCCTGTTGTACTACAGCAGTGTGACGATATAGGGAGGTAAATATCCCCCTAAACATAAAAAACAGACCCCTGCTGTACTGCACTTTATACCTACTACAGCAAGTGAGGATGTAGCGCTATCAGGGTTGATCTCCTCGCTGATGTAAGAGAATTCCTGTACTACAGAAGTGTAACAAAATAGTGCGTTGAAGATTCATTTGAATTATTTCCTATCTCCAGGGATATATCGGAGCCCCCGACACTTCATCTCAATTACCTCGTCTGTCTTCACTAAGGCAATTGCATTAGCATCGAATTCTGCCGTATTAACACACCGAAAACATAGTTAGCTCAATTCAGTTCGTCTTGAGTTTGTCTTTCTTTTAATTAAGGCCAACTCGACGGTGTGCTCGTACGTCTGAGAATCTCTTGTTAGCGTCACAACAGGTACTTGTGGAACTTAACTACCAAAACAGTAAGGGCACCTGGATCGGTCATTCTCCTGTCGTGTTTACCTGATCGGTCCTCCTCCTGTCGTCTTTACCTGATCGGTCATCCTCCTGTCGTCTTTATCTGACAGCTAACAGAACTGTCAACTCTATCCTTTTTTTTCTAAAGGAGTATGTATGATTTGGATCAAATTTGGCCCCCTCTTCAAATTTGATGAAATACCTATACTGAGTAAGGATAGTGACATAATTAATGAATTGGGGGATTTTAGCATGTTTTCTTTCTCGGCGCATGCGTAGCGGCACTTCAAATATAGGTGTCACACCAGTATTTTTTAAGAGAAAAATGACACAAAGCATTACAAAAAGATTCTGTAACTTTTAATTATCATACAAATATGCTGCTTAATATTGATGTAATTAAATCACTTATGGAAGTTATCAACTAATGGCTTTTGCTAGCAAAGGCTTAAATTAAACTTTTAATATATTTACATTTGGTACCTTAGCAACGAATTATATCACATAGCAACGGCATGGCTATAAGATTCATTACTGGTAACAACATTTTCTATCGTCCGAACTTGTGTAATGGAAACAAATCATAGCATATGTGACATAATTATATGGACTAACTTTTTTTACAAAGGTATTATAATGCAAACATTTGGGAAGTGACAATAATTTCCCTAGCAACAGAATGTGTCGCATAGCAACAACAATACCTTATATTGATAACAACATTTTCTTTCCAGTTTCAAGATTTTTCTTCTGCTGTACTTAATGAAAACAAAATATTTCTCATGTTTTCAGTAGCTAAACTTTCTAATAAAGGTATCACAATATAGATATTAGAGTATTGATCAAAGTTGGTGCCCTAGCAAAGTATTCTTACACATGGCAAGAATATGACCTAAACTGTTATTTTTTTTATACTGTTTCAATGTTTTTTATTGTACGTTATTTAATGAAAACATATCATTATCACTTTACATGGACTAAACTTTTCTTACGAAATATGTATAATATAAACATTTTGATACAGATCAAAGTTAGTACCCTAGCAACAGAGTCTATCACATAGCATACCTGTAATTGTTAACATATTCTTTTCTGTTACAATATTTTTCCACTTGTTACTTGTTGAAAGCGAAACACTTATCACATAATTTCATTGGTAAAACATTTTTGTTATAAAGGTATACTAGTGTACACAATATAAAAAATTGATTATTAATCAAAGTGTACAACAAAGTCTATCACATAGCAAGAACATCACCTGAAGCTGTTATCGGTTTCTATTTTGCTTCATACTTCTGCACTGGTGCTTTTGAAAGCAAAGCATATTCGAAGCATATAATCAATGTATGACCTTTGGTTTTGTTCACAGAATTTAACAAACATGAAAATGAACAAGTGATAAGCGACTTCAAATTATATCTACTTTAAATACATATAGTGTTACAGTTTATTCCTCTGGATACTCCTCATCCGTGTCGGAATCTGTTGTTGGAATGTCAGCTGCATCAGCCAAAGACTTTGTCGAAATAGTCACTGCCCCAGATGATTTGCCTTGGAAGCGTTCATATCCTAGAAACCACAATGCACTTGCAATGTGGGCACAGCAACCGACCACTCTTGAGCCTACTTTACAAGTGCAGTACCAACCTTTGATGGGATCATCAGAGAGTGAGTCATACTCAATCCACAAAGAATGTGCTCTGCTGTTACAGTGTCGAGACTGTATTTTTAACTTGATCAGATTAGGGTTTTCTGAGAAGACCAGCAACTCATACAGTCCATCTTCAACACAGTGCTCCTTTGTATAACTTGGAGCCTGTTTAAGTTGATAAACTCCCATGGTGATGTTTCGTAAGTCATCCATGGAAAGTTTAGGGAAGTCCATCAAGTCTTCTGCTTCCAGCTTTTGATAAACAGTTCTCTTATTTAGTAAGTTGTTGCTTTCCAAAAATGCTTTCACTGTATTTGGTTCCTTGGACTTTGCAAGCATTGCCCTGCAATGTGCTTCTGATGTTGCGTCAGTTTTCACAAGTGGTTCTTTAAACCTGTTGATAAGAGCACAGATGATTCTCACAAAGTCACCAATAGAAGGGATCAGGGTATTTGGAATAACTTTGTCAAACAGTTTCCATTGTTTTATCCTGCCATTCACGCTTTCTACCACCCATCTGACTTTTGTGACTAAACGTGAAAGGTTCGCCTCTTCGGTGCTGTGCTGCTTGCAGCCTTTCTGAAGATAGAAGGGCATTTTCACATCGAAACCTCGGTCTTCTAAAAACCTCACAGCGTCCCTAAACCCCCTGTCTACAATGAATATGTCACCGGGTTTGAACCACTTGCTAGCTTCCTCATTTCCCTTAAGCATGTGTTTTGTAATGGAGGCATCGTTGTTTGAGCCATCAGCCAGGTAAGGTCCGAGCACATCCAGAATGTAGCCATCTGTTCCTACAAGCATCATTGGTTTAACGAGTGGTCTGTTCTTGTGCATAGAATAGGACCTCCTTTGGAATTTGTAGTCTGCACTCTTCTGGATGTAAACATAGGTGCCATCAGCAACAACAATAGCCTCGTTTTCGCCTGGTTGGAACAATGATTTTGCTATATTTGTAGTGTGGTTTTGAACAAAGTCTCCATGAGATATGTGTTGAAATCCAAGGTTATCTGGTACAAAATCTTCCACTAAGGCATTCCTTGTGCTGTTCACTATACGCTGGATTTGTGAATATGTTAAATGAAATAACACACCAATTAACTTGTTGGACAATCCACTACGTAATTTGAAGAGAAACACAGCTAGACATGTCCGGATTGACCTAACTGCTGAATTATTAAGTGATGTCAAATGAGTGACAATTTCGTCAAACTGCTGTTTGGTAAATCCTGTCAATGTTACATAATCTTCATTGGTTAAAAATGATGGCACATCGAAATTCAAATGTCCAGAATGTGTAGACAGCATCCTTCGGACTCCGGAGAGAAGACCTGTAATATCACTTCTTGAAAACCAGTCATTTGATTTCTTGGTTCCAAGTAATGCCAACGCATTTTCATTCAGATAATTGTTCTCAATATGGCTCTCACAACATCTACTATGGGGGTGTATGAATATACCACATACTACGAAGGCCTGAGTAGATCCTTGTTGTGGGATGTTGGTTAAATGGTTTCTTTGGTTTGCATCTTTATGACATACAATACATGATTTATGAGATTTTGATGTTGCGGGAAGGTTCAAATTAATAGTTTTAGGACTCGACAGTGTCTTTTTCTTTGGCGGCTGAGAAATGTACTCGTCATCATTAGTATTTACAGGTGTCTGGTGAAATATTGGAAGACTCCTATACACTCGTGCCGTACATGTCCCGCATATCATGTCATTGCTACTCACGTCCCTGCCAACACATCGCTCCACATATCTTTTAAAGGCCACGCCAGGTGGGATATGCCTTCTGGAATTTGGTTTACACCTTTTGAAGCACAAGCAACATGGGATGTCTTTTGGCATCTGGAAAGAAATATTTGATAAGTATATTAATACTTTATACCAACCATATGAATCACGGTAACGTAGAAAAGTATAAAAAGAATATATAAACATAAAAGTGACAACTTTTTATGTGGAACTCAAAAGAATGTGTGTTCTATACATTGTATAAGAAATTAAAAGTTGTAAACATAGATATTATATTCATATTTAAATTACATAACATATTTTTGTCATAATTGATCAATAATTACACATTATTTAGTGAATATGTTGTTAAGTTTTTTACAATGAAATTAAGAAAAAATAATAAAAAGGAACAGGCACCAGCACAACTGTAACTCACACAAATGTCGATAAATGTTTGTGAAATATGGATTGTCAACAAGATTTGAACTCACAGTTTAATTAATATTACAAATGTTATTTTCTTAATGTGAAAAAAATAAAATGTTGCTAAGCACTTTCAAGAACAGACTACATGGTTGCATTTTAAATTAAATTAAGAATAGGTATTTTTTATTTGAAATCAAAATAAATAAATAAGAGTTGTCAACAGGATCTGAAGTCAGAGCTTAATTAATTACACAAATAGTTTTAATTAATGTTAAAAATAATAATGTGTTGCAAAGTTCTCGCTAGAAAATATGTATTATAGTTTTGTATCTTAAATTGAATATAAAAAAAAATAAAAAATAAAAAAATAAAATCAATGGTCATCAGGATTGGATCCCATAATTGCGGTGCTTATGCTCCTGAGCCAACCCTCATACCACTACACCATGAAACAGCATATGCAACCGGAAGTTATTTTGAAAGTATATATACACCGACTATGTTGGCTTTCTCTCTGGCTGTTTCCAAGACAATGAGTATAAATAGATGCGCTCTTTCATTTCTATTTTTCCTTAGTTAATAAAACGAATATTTTTCAGACAGAAAGAAGACATTTTCAGTGGACTTCAACAAGACACACAGTCTCTGTTGAAGTTTATAATGAATTACTCTTGAATTTATTGTGAGCTCGCCTTCAGTCCAGACGACACTTCACCGTTTGTTTGGCGATCAACATCGACAACATTCAAGCTGGGCTTGGCAGCACAGAATAATACTGTTTCAGAACTTTAAAAAGTATTGAGATACCTTTAAATAGATTTTATTGTTAATAAATGACATTTGAATAAATTTTTTAACAAACATCACACAAAGTTAGTGGATTTTTTGCCGTCTACCTGTATTGGGGCATCTGTCAACCAGACGTAAAACTGATGATGCAATCAAGTGCTGCAGACGTCCGATGAATAAAAAAACTATTCATTTTTTATATCACATCAGTTAAAAATTTTTGCTAACAAGAACAAATCTTACCTTTTTTGGTTGTGAAAAATTAAGGAATTGTTGGTTTTAACTCCATCATTTGAGTGTTTCTGCTGCAGTAAACAAAAATATCGATAGCGGCGAAGTCCGTTTTCCGTGTTCCGGACCATATATTACACGCGATCTTGCATCAAAATGCCGAAAAATAATTTTAAAAATTAATTTTTTAATATGAGCGCAGTCTTGAACAAGTTTTTCCTTTTAACACAATGACTTTATTAAAATTTTTATTTTGTAGCATCAATATGAAACTTGTTCAAGCCTGCGCTCATGGTAAACTTCAGTAAAATGTACCCACGAAATGGGGGAAATCACCGATTTTCGTGTTTTTTGTCAATTTTCAAACAGCTATATTAAAAAATTGGTGATATTTTTTAAATCTTGAAAACAATTCTAGAATCATGGACACTTCCATTATTAAATGTCTTCACTCTTTTGATTTTCTGAGACAGTTTTTCTCAGTAAAATATTGGGGGTACATAGGAACCCAAACCATACATACTCCTTTGGTCGAAGAAATGGCTAAAAAAAATTCATCCGAACAAGTGCAAGGTCATGACAATAAAGGGAGATGAAAAACGAAACTATTCTATGAGGGGAACAGAAGGCGAAGTTATTCAGTTAGAAAATATAGCACACGAAAAGGACCTTGGCGTCATAATAGATGAGGACTTGAACTTCAAAACTCATATTCAGGCGATGGTGAACAAAGCGAACAGCATAGTTCGGCTTATTAGAAGATTTTTTGTTTATTTAGACGAATCAATGTTTAAAACTTTAGTCAGACCCCATTTGGAATATGCTGGAAGTGTATTGAATCCATTCAAAATAGAGGATACCAATTTGATTGAAAATGTTCAGAGAAGAGCAACAAAGCTTCTTTCCGGTTTCAAGAACTTAACATATTCCCAACGTTTGGAGACACTTGTTCATAGAAGAAAGAGAGGAGATTTGATAAATGTTTTCAAAATAGTTAAAAGTATATATGACAGCAGGGTAACTGGGAACTTGTTTTAGATGGACACTCTCAGTAGAACAGAGGCCATTCTTTCAAGATCTATAAAAACGATGCCGACTTGAAAGCAGGAAGATTTTTTTAACATACAGGGTGGTAGATCCTTGGGACAATTTGCCACCATATGTCATTAATGTCCACACTATTATAGAATTTGAGAAGCTGCTTGATGAACACTGAAAAGACAATCGTTTCTATCATAATTCATGAATCACAAACTTTGCTTAAGCCATTACACCGAACTGTTGTTACTTTTGTTTTCATATGTTTATATTTTGATATGGATATAAGGTTTTTTTGTTAATTGAATCTAGCCTGCGTCCATAATTTCTCCTAATACATTCTAATAAAGAAATTAATTGTGTACCATTAATAGCAAGATATTAAATATTCACCGTCCCTAGCAAGAAATTAATTATGTACCATTACTAGCAAGATATTAGATATTCACCGTCCCTAGCAAGAAATTAATTATGTACCATCTAATATTATTAGTTATCAAGGTATTATCTATATTGAACTGTTTAAATATTGTATATCTGTATTGTTAATTATGTATATCTATATTGTTATTAATTGTATATCTATATTGTTATTTATTGTATATCTGTATTGTTATCTATTGTATATCTATATTGTTATTTATTGTATATCTGTATTGTATTTATTGTATATATGATATTGTTATCTATTGTATATCTATATTGTTTATCTAAATGTATATCTATATTGTTTATCAAGTATATCTATATTGTTATCATTGTATATCTGGTTATCTATTGTATATCTGTATCTGTATTGTTATCTATTGTATATCTATATTGTTATCTATTGTATATCTATATTGTTTATCTATTGTATATCTATATTGTTATCTATTGTATATCTATATTGTTATCTATTGTATATCTGTATTGTTATCTATAGTATATCTGTATTGTTTATCTATTGTATATCTGTATTGTTATCTATTGTATATCTATATTGTTTATCTATTGTATATCTATATTGTTATCTATTGTATATCTATTGTATATCTATATTGTTATCTATTGTATATCTATATTGTTTATCTATTGTATATCTGTATTGTTATCTAATGTATATCTATTATCTGTTATCTATTTGTATATCTGTATTGTTATATCTATTGTATATCTATATTGTATTGTTATCTATTGTATATCTGTATTGTTTCTATATATCTGTATTGTTATCTATTGTATATCTATATTGTTATCTATTGTATATCTATATTGTTATCTATTGTATATCTGTATTGTTATCTATTGTATATCTATATTGTTATCTATTGTATATCTGTATTGTTTATCTATTGTATATCTATATTGTTATCTATTGTATATCTATATTGTTATTTATTGTATATCTGTATTGTTATCTATTGTATATCTATATTGTTATCTATT